TGAACGGGAGAGACCAAGTAACGAACAAATAATTTTGTTAGAATTTCTAGTTCGCATTCTGAAAAGAAAGACAACTAGCGCTTAAGTAACACTTCGGATCTCCGTATTTCGTAAAGAAGTCATCATTTCCCGTAGTTTGATTAAATTTTCCCAATTTAATCCAGTAAAAACTAAAAGTCGATCTTCTGGAAGACTGAAATCAGCAATTCTATCTGTAATTTCCTTGTCAGCATCTAAACTCAAATTGTCGAGCAGCTTTTCTAAATCTTTTTATCTCATTTTCATATAATTTGCCATTTATCAAATGTTCTGGACAACAGCGATTGCCTTCAGGAATGAAAATACGATGTGATGAAAAAACTTGCTTACGGGCTTTGAAAGGAATGCTTATAATTTGAGATTCTTTTCCACAAAAACAGCAATATTTGTGTGAAGAAATAGGCCTTCTATATGATAGTTCAATACATTCTCCTTCTTCCTTAGTTTGTAGCTTAGGTTCGAAACTAGGATCATCTGCTGATGGTTGTGATGAAGAAATTGAATCTGTTGAACTAACAGATATTTGACTGTCCATTTGTAACGGCTGATTTCTCAATGCATCTTCCTTTCTTTTTTTTAACTGTAAAAACGAAATTGCTGTAAAACATTTACTACACAAAATATCACCAACGGATGCTTTTCCATCAATAAATAACGTTATCTCATTAGCTAATTTATCAGTTTCTATTAATTTTGGTCCACTAATTTTCTTAATAGATAGCTCACATTTAATACATTTTTGTTTCGTTTTTTCAGCTGAACCAGACATTGTGAAGTCTGAAAAATATAAAAAATTTACAACATTTAGTACATGAGTTTAACATAAAAAATTTTTTCTCTACTTTTAAGGTCATTCAACAGGTAATATTATGTAAAACTAGTTTATAAATGTATTAGAACTTTATTTTATTTATTTTATTTTATTTTAAATGGCTCTCAAGGGCTAGAATTTAGAAAAAAATCTTCTGGAAATCTTATTATAATGTTACGTTCAGTGATTACTGTATAGACTTTCTAATCATTTGTTTGTTAAAATACTATTCTAGTTTGAAATTGTGTATGTAGTTATGCATACACTATATAATAATTTACAGATATGTTTGTGAAAAACTTACCTTTAATGGATTTCCGTCTTGTCGATACGATTTTTAATGCAATCAACACTATTTTATCATTTTGGTAATGATCTAATAAGTATCTGTGTATTGAAATGTGAATTCATTAGTGTATTGAATAGATTTTGAAATTATTTTCAAATTCAAAATACTATAGATAGTGCGTAGAAATGTGTCCAGTGACTAGTGACTAGTGACTATAGTTCAAGAATTAGTTAAGGTTTGATATTTGCTTTAGAGAGACCTCTGGCGGTGTCAATTCGAAAATCATTGTACTCTTGTATTCTTGTTCATTGTATTCTTTTTCAGTGTCCACTTTTTTGTAATCTTTTTTTTTATTGTTTACTAAAACTGTAAATATCAAAACAATTGATTTCCACAAATAATACATACCATTTTGATCATTTTTTCTATTATCTAAAACTATCGGTTTTTTATTTTATAAGTTATGTTGAATCTATGCTGCTTATTTAGGACTAAAATATTGTAGAGTAATAATTAAACTATTACACTCCAATGAAAGCGACCATGTATTTACTTATCATTATTTTTATCATACGTTGAATTTTTTATTCCTATGTACATTGGATGTGTACAGTATTATCGATAAGTACCTGATTTGTTTCAATAATTCATCGCAAGCTCTTATTTTAATAAAGATTGAATAAAAATAACTTCTTGTTGCAAATATTTCTGTGCGAAAACTACCTTTGCCAGCAGTTTGAATTAAAGGCTACTTTTGCCCACCAGAGTTTCAGAATATTGACCAACCTTGTTGCATACAATTTATATCGTACCTATAGTACAGAAAAAAGGTTAAGTAAGTGAAAGTGAAATCAAATGGCTTGTTTGGAAGTATTACAGATTAATAGAGCCGAGGTATATGCAAAAATGAGCGAAAATGCGATTTTTAATTTTTTTGACCGCCTTCCACCAATTTTAAAAATCTGAAAAAATTCACACATACTTTTAGAGTGAAAATACATACAATATATTTTTTCCAGAGATACGTCTGTCTTCGTTTTTGAGATATTCAATTTTAAAATTTTTACAGCGCTGAAAAAATTTGAATTTCGTGCCTAAATTTTTTTTGAGTTTTACCATTTTGTACGGCTTCAAAAACTCTACAATTTGAAAAAAAAATTTTTTTCTAAGACAAAAATTGAAGGAGTAATGATCAAAAAACCGAAAATAGGAAAAATTGAGATTCTGCGCATGCGCATGGGTCTAGGGGCCTGAAAATTGGTGGAGCAGTACCATTTTTCATACGCAATAAGATGATATAACTAGCTATACCAAATTGACCGGGGGCAAATTCGACTATGTTACCCGGCTAGACCCTTTAGCTAATTAGAGATTTCTTTGATAAGAGTTTGGCGTCAGATTCCTCAGCGGATGATCCGCAATTGCATTTCCAATATGCGGCAGCGATTGCAAGCTGTGATTCAGAGTAGAGGCGGAAATACTCGATACTAAACACACACATACATACACACACACACACAAACACTTTGGAAAGTGAGTTTGGAGTCGTAAAATACTGTGGAGCTAACGAGCCACGGGGTCTCTTCTTTCCAAAAATCATTCGCACACGTGCGTAAGCACAAAAGAAGCATAAATCCGATCGAGCAACCTCCACGTGGTATGATTTGGATAACGTTAATGCCGGCGGTAAATCGGTCATCAATCGCTAGAGAACAATATTTTATAGTCAGTGGAAAAATTTTTTTTTTATTTTTGAAAAATGTTTTTTTGGTTTTTGAAAAAAAATGTTGTTTTTCATTTTTTTTCAAAATTAATCGTAAACAGACACAAAATTGTGTAAACAGACGAAAAAAAATGGAATTTTTTGATTTTTAAAAAGTTTGCTTCAAGTTAAGGAACAAAAACCTTGTTCCTTTAATTTTTTATAAATTTTGATCAATTGGTCCGGAAAAACCGCTGAACCGATCGCTCCATAAATTTAGGGGGTTCCTTGGGGGACATTATACTGTAAAATTTCTCTTTAACCGTACCTTTTCCGCCCATATTACTGAAGATACAGTCAAGTAACCAAAAAAGGGGAAAATGTCACTTTTTTTAACTTTTTTCAATTCAATGTTAGAGATGGAAAAAAATTTTTCTCTTTACTAACGTTTCACTGTATTTCATCGAAAATTTTATGTAGATGATGAAATTCGCTGTCCACTCGCTGTGCGACCAGTAGTTCCAGAGATATTGAATTTTGAATGCAAAAGGATTCTTTTGCATTCAAAGTTCGATATCTCGGAGACAAATGATCGTAATGGAGCTCCGCGAATAGCAGCGTGAAGCTGAATAAACAGGCTAAAAGACCTATGTATTGGCGTAGCTCGAACTAATTTTTCCATGCCCGTAGAGTAAGAAACAAATTGTAAAAAATTTGGATAAAATTTTTTTTGCGCTTTGTATAAGGATTGCATGAAATACGGAGCTCCAAAAAATTTTCACTAAAAAAACTGAAAACTAGAGTCTTCAAGCTTCAACAGCTTAATTTTTTTATTTCCTGTACGACCATTTCTCACTGAAATACCGCCTGTTGAAAATCAGCCAAAAATTTGACAAATTTTTTTGATCCCTTAATTTGTACGAGGAGTGTACATCGACAAATACGAAAAAAGCAGAAAGCAAAACAACACTTTTTTGATTTCTGGAATATCCTTATAAGTAGCTGCAACTCTATCAATCCATCTGTGCTTGAAAAATTAGTATTAAGAATGTCAAAAATTCGTAAAGTTATAATTAAAGCCAAAAAAGAATTGCTTGACGAATCAAAAGTATAGTTGTTTAAGAATACATAAGTAATTCATTATTCTATTAATTAATTTTGGTTTCCAAATTTTGTTGAATTATCAAAGATTTCAAATATTTGTTTTTCTGTTGTATATTTTGTTGTACAAAGTATACTTAAGATCAAATTATATAATACATATTTATGACGTTAGTCCAATTGTTATAATGCCACAATTCTAATCTAATTATATATATTTTTGCGAAAAAAAATGTGTTTTTTATTTCATACTCTATAATAAAAATTTTAAGCGATTGACTTATACAGTGAAAACTTGACAATGTGACGTAATAATTTATATAATATTTTATATATTTGCACGTGGCATATTTTTAATCCTTTGCAAACTGCTTTCCGATTTCTCCTAACTTTATTATTAAAGAAAACTGCAAATGGTTGAACAAAAATGAAAAAATATAAAATTAAATAAAATTCTTTAAGAGCTTAATAGTTTTGAAAACAACTTAGAAAAATAAAAATAAAGCTTTTGACAAGTACTTTCCAATACTTAAAAAAAAAATTTCCGACAAATATTTAAGAAGTATGTGGGGAGTCGAAGCGAAAAATGGATTACCAATTCAAGATCAATGGCGGGTACTATAATAGAAATTATAAATAATTGTACGGGACAGGAATAATCTTGTGAAATAAAAAAAAGCATAAAGTGGATTATCTTAGTTTGTTTGACTATCGAAGTATTAGTAATCTATCGCGTAAAAATTAGATATATTTATGGAAAAGTGTAGGGGCTTAAAATTAAATGTTTAGGCTAGGCATAGAAATATTCCTTTTATTATCTTATTTTAACCTTAGGTTATAATAGGTAATACGAGAATTAATCACATGTGGAGATGAAATAGTGAGAAATGATGCAACATGTAAATTTTATAGTTGCTTCTACATGAAATAAAGTTCCATATTAAAGTAAACCAAAACTAACAAAATGCTAAATAAAATAAACTTTAAGAGAAATTTTATTAAATTAGTATGATCTTTAATATTCATTATTATAGAGAACTCATAAACATTTTTCTTACGTTGAATCTGGACTAAATTTACATTTGAGGGCATATTCTTTATGAGCTTTTAGTTTGTGACGAGGGTTCAACTTTGTAGAATCTGCAACAATTCCATTTAAGGTCCAGATAAAACAATGGCCTTTATTATTGACAGCTGCCATGTACGTTCCATCAGTATTGATAGAAATACTTTGAATTGATGTTTCTGATTCAGGAATCTGTAAATAATATTATGATACGTGATATTATAATTAAAAAATATAAAGAACTCTTTTTAAACGATCATAAAGAAACTGTATTAACAAGAGTAAATATCAGTCTATGTTTAGATTTTATCTCTTTTGATCATGGCTAAATGTTTGCAGAGCTTTCTAAACAAATAGTGCGTATTTAGTAGGATAGAATGCATACTTTTATTTACTTTGAAATGGAAAGTTAATTATATATTGAATTATTAACATCATATGTGAAATGAGAATATATATGTATATATCACTTAATACGCCGCTATCCACGGCCTCGAATAGCATTAAGTTCTTTATTTCTGCCAACAAGCTGAAGCTTTTTACTTTGAAGCAGGAGGAAAGGAAGAAAACATTAGAGGTTTATTCCAAAACTACCACCTATTGTTCATATATGTAAAATATCAAGTGTCAACACCATACGCATGAGCCAAAATGTTCACATTTATACACATCAAATAAAGTAGATAGAGAGTAATATGAATCTCATCACGTGCTTGTAAGAAATATGTTGTTAGTAACACTTATTAATGGATATCAGATCTCCTATCCTGGATTCCGAACTGGCAGCTACGGAGGTCGTCCAAAACTTATCTTTTTCTCAAGCAGAAGAAACACCACGGAACAAATATAATATCTTTTCTTTGCAAATTCTTCACCATTAATTTAGTATACTGAAAATTTCTTACTCAGGTACGCCGAATGCTTGTAGAAACATGCTCGTATACGGTACTCTCCATACCAAGGTGACTCTGCCTCAGATTTTCTACTCTAACTCTTTTCCTCTTGTTCTCATTCACTAGCTCTGTACTCAGCAATACACTCTGTTAAGCTTCCTTAAGCTACAAAAATAAATTAAAGAGCCTGCGCGTTACGGAATTTCAAATTTAATGAATAAATAGACTATGCATCTTTTATATTTAGTTTACTAGAAACTCTTACGAGGTGTCCACATTCGATTTTTATTTAACTGTAATATGTTGTAGAACATAGAAACATAAGAGACACGTATTTTTTTATCGGCGGAGAAGCGTTTTTACGAGGCGAATAGAACCCTTAAAAATCACCTCTGATAATAAACTTTTTTTAGTATCTGGCCAATTCCATCTCAGATCATGCAGAGCTCCCCACACACCTGTCACCAAGCTACTCCAAAGTATTTTTTTATTGTTCTAGGTCAAAAATAAGAGGACCCGTATTTTTTCTTTTTTCTCTCAGATGCATAGTTCCGTCAATAATGCAATTGGAAAATGCACTGCTGAAAAGGGAAAATTGAGAAAATTTTTCCAATTAAATTTGGTTTCCTCAATATTTTTTGTATTTTTCGATACAATTAAATAATTTTTATGTCATCTATAGTAGAAACGAAGTTCTTCAAGTCTAATTTATCAAAAATATGAATGTATGCATTTTTCGGGAGAAAATGCATGTTTTCGAAAAAGTGCATCTTGGAGAAAAAATTGTGTATCTCAAAAAGGCCATAATTTTTTGCGCTCAAATTTTTTTTATATATTCTTAGTACCAATACCTTCAAATCCATTCGATCAAAATTTGCTGTTTTTTCGTTATATCGCTTAAAAAAATTAAAAAAAAAAGTTTTACATTTTCAAGTCAAACGCGATAAATACATAGGTACAGCGAATGGAAATCAAAGCTGAGAAAGAAAGGGTGACGTTAAATTATCAACATTTGCTGATGCATATAGATTTTGCTGAGAATTGGTCTGTAATTTTGAAAAATCCAGTTCAAGGGAATCATTGGGTGAATAAACAGATTTCAATTTTCACTGCTGTTTGCTACATAGGCGGAATTACAAAGAGTTATACTGTAATTAGTGAAAACTTAAAACATGATTATTCTCATGCATTGGCAGCAATACAAATAATTCTTGAACATATAACTAGATACACACAAGAAACGTATGGAAATTCGATTGATTCTATAACTTTAGTATCTGATGGCGCTGCAAGTCATTTCAAAAATAGATTCCAGTTAAATGAATTTTTAAATGCAAGTATGAGTAAAAAATGGATATTCTCTGCTACTGGTCATGGAAAGGGTGTTGTAGATGGTATAGGTGGTTTGGTAAAGCATTATGCAACAGTGCATAATTTACGCAGTACTGAATCTGATGCTATTCAAACTGCTAAAAGTTTTGTTGAAAATGTATCAAAATACACAACTTCTATAGAGCTGATTTTGATGGAAACTGCAGAGATAAACAATTTTCGTAGTAGTCAAATGGAGCAAAGACACAAATGCCAGAAATATCAGGGTATTCAACGTTGCCACATGTGGAAATCTGTTGTCTCGGAAGGGAGGAGCGAATGTTTTATAGCTCGAACGGCTGCGCATCCATGGATTGAAGTGAAAAAAGATGAAAAAAAAAAGAAAAGTACTCATAAGAAGAAAAACGAAAATGTAAACAAGGGCAAGAAAGTGAAAGTTGTATCTAAAAAAGTGAAGAGAGTTGTAAAAGTAATCAACTCAAACAGAAAAAAATGATCGTGTAATTTTACATTTCTTGCAGACATGATTGAATAAAAGTGAGCTTTTTCTTTGAGTTACATGTTATTGTAGTTCAGTTATTAACCTACATAGTCGCTAACATGAATTCCTGAATGTATTTATCGCGTTTGACTTGAAAATGTAAAACTTTTTTTTTTAATTTTTTTAAGCGATATAACGAAAAAACAGCAAATTTTGATCGAATGGATTTGAAGGTATTGGTACTAAGAATATATAAAAAAAATTTGAGCGCAAAAAATTATGGCCTTTTTGAGATACACAATTTTTTCTCCAAGATGCACTTTTTCGAAAACATGCATTTTCTCCCGAAAAATGCATACATTCATATTTTTGATAAATTAGACTTGAAGAACTTCGTTTCTACTATAGATGACATAAAAATTATTTAATTGTATCGAAAAATAAAAAAAATATTGAGGAAACCAAATTTAATTGGAAAAATTTTCTCAATTTTCCCTTTTCAGCAGTGCATTTTCCGATTGCATTATTGACGGAACTATGCATCTGAGAGAAAAAAGAAAAAATACGGGTCCTCTTATTTTTGACCTAGAACAATAAAAAAATACTTTGGAGTAGCTTGGTGACAGGTGTGTGGGGAGCTCTGCATGATCTGAGATGGAATTGGCCATCTCTAAAAAAATAGAATCCTGATATAATTCCCTGTCACACACACACACACACACACACACACACACACACACACACACACACACACACACACACACACACACACACACACACACACACACACACACACACACATACACACACACACACACACACACACACACACACACACACACACACACACACACATACACACACACACACACACACACACACACACACGCGCGCGCGCACGCACGCACACGCACGCACGCACGCACGCACGCACGCACAGGGTGTCTTATTTTAACTTACCCAGTAGGATATCTCAAAACTTGGCAAGGTAATCAAAAAATGTTTCAAACGAAAGTTATATTGTTCGGAGGGGGTCACCTTATGACAACCTTAAACTTGATCTTGAACTTGATTTTTAGGGTCCTTTCAAGGTCAACTTTGTTTTTCTTAATGGAAACCCCTATTTTTTATCCCGAATTCGGATAGAGTGGGAAATTTTACGTTCAAATCATGTAATATGTGTATGGTCCAAATGACCCCCACTCCACCCCAAAAGTCATGAATTCAAACCTGCGACGAAAAATGAGAGTTCCCACTCAAAAAGTAAGGTTGAAATGACTAGGGGTAGGGTGGGAGCCATTTTGACCCCACACGTATTACGAGTATATGACTTGAACGTAAAATTTACCGCTCTATCCGAATCCGGGATAAAAAATAGAAGTTTCCATTTAAAAAAACAAAGTTGACCTTCTAATAACCTTGAAACTCTAGTTCAAGGTCAAATCCAAGGTCACCATTGAATTCCTTGCAAGAAGTTACGAAAAACCTGACCCTAACCTTTTTCAAAAATATCTTACCTGAAAAAATACAGGACTGTTTCGGTACTTTTGTTACGCTCTCTCTCTCTCTCTCTCTCTATATATATATATATATATATATATATATACAGTGCCGCTTACGCACTTTTACCCCCCCACGGGCAAAATCAGTCTAACTTCAAAGTTTTATATCCCTGGTAGAAATTAACGTACAGAGACGCGCGTGAGTACGTTTGAAAGGTCTTTCGGAGAGCTTTCAAATGATATGATTCACGGTTACCATCGATTGTTTTTTTAAATTTTGCAACAATTATGCAAAATTGAAAATTCTGAAATTTTTTTATTATTTTTGACAATTAGCCAATTTTGGAAAAAAAATAGTACGAAAATTTGAAGTACACCATTTTTTAGCTATTACCAAGCCCTATCTGAATCACTCATCAAAAATTTATTTTCGTCAAATACTACTGTGGGCAAAAAGTAAGGTGAATTTTCAATTTAAACTTCGCGGGCTTAACATTTCGGGCTAGTTCTTTTTTTCTTGAGTTGGTAGGACTGCGAATGACATCTGGGACAAATTTCATGTCAATGTCATCATCAGTAATATATTTACGCTTGTGTTTACCAAACGACCAAGAGTGCATGTTTCGATTTTTACAATGTCTGATTTAATTGAGCAAAGAAGTGCCATCAAATTTTGTTTGCGGAATGAAATTTCGGCTGCGGAAACGTTGAGGATGTTGCGGAAGGCCTTTGGTGATTCTACCATGTCGCAGAAAAATGTTTATAAGTGGTACAAAGACTTCAAAGAGGGTCGAGAACGTGTTGATGACTTGGAGCGCTCCGGACGACCATCGACGTCAACAGATGACCAACACGTCAATAAAGTGAAGGAATTAGTGCTCGAAAATCGTCGGTTGACTGTTAGAGATCTTACTGATATGATCGGAATATCAGAAGGATCTGTGAAAACAATTTTGAAAGAGCATTTGAGCCTACGAAAAGTAA